TAATATATTTATTTTGCCAGTCCTAGGGCTTGACCTTGGCCTAGGCACTGTGCCTGAGCCTCTCTGTGCTCAAGGCTAGTGCTCTACCACTTGAGCCAACAGCACCACTTCCGGCTTTTTCTGTGTATGTGGTACTGAGGAATTGAACCCAGGGCTTCATGCATGCTAGAGAAGCCACCTTCCCAGACAAATATTTTTATTTAAATCTGGGTTTACCTTTACTTTTTGTTTTGCTATTTTTTTTTGGCGGGGGGGGAGTTTTCCTTAGGCTTGAACTCAGAGCCTAGATGCTGATCCTGAGCTTTTTTTTTTTTTTTCAACTTTTCTTTTTGCTCACGGCTCACATTCTACCACAGTGTGTGTGTGTTTAATTGGAGATGAGAGTCTCATGAATTTCCCTGCCCAAGCTGGATTGAATTGCAATCCTGAGGCCTCAGCCTCCAGAGTGCTAGGGTTAGAGGCAAAGAACCCAGCGCTCAGGGTACTGTTCCTGAGCTCTTCAGCTCAAGGCTAGCGCTCTACCACTTGAGCCACAGCGCCACTTCTGGCTTTTTCTGCTTATGTGGTGTTGAGGAATCAAACCCAGGGCTTCATGCATGCAAGGCAAGCACTCTACCACTGAGCCACCTTCCAGCCCCACTTCTGGTTTTCTGGTGGCTATTTAGAGATAAGAATCTCACAGACTTTGCTGCCCAGGCTGTCTTTGGACTATTATCCTCAGCTCAGGCTGAGTTAAGTAGGATTTCAGACAGGAGCCACCAGTGCCAATAATTCACCACCTGAGCCACAGCGCCACTTCCGGCTTTTTTGTTTTTGCTTATGTGGTGCTGAGGAATCGAACCCAGGGCCTCAGGCGTGCAAGGCAAGCGCTTTAACCACTGAGCCACCTTCCCAGCCTTAGCTTTTAAAATGCTGAGCCTTTAAGCCTGCATCAGTAAAGGGATGGTGCCGCCACTAGGGGGCGCCGTCGACACAGTGGATGGCTGTGAAGGGCAGAGTGGTTGAGGAGCCTGACCTGGCAGTGCTCAGCTCTAGGCTGAGCCTGTCAGAGTAGCCACAGTGCGGGTCCTAAATGTCTGCAGGTGATTCTAAGTGTGAGTGGAGGAAGGAGGAGAGATGAGACGGTGTCTGGGTGTGTAGGTGACACAGCTGGCTTCAAGTCGTCTGCCACAGCTGCCCCAGTGCTGGGATTGCAGGCGTGCGTCACCACACATGGCTACTCTGGGTCTTTACTGAGATTTCCCCTCTCCCATCTTCTTTACCAAAGCAGTCATTTCTGAGTGTGATTTCCAAAGTAGCACAAGGGACATACAGAAGTTTGGGATGATGCCACATTAAATGTCTGAACCACCCCTGCGCCACTGTCCTACCTCCAGGCTTCACCCTGAGTTTGTTCTTGATGCCAAGGGTCTGAGATCAGGGCAGCAGATTCTCTGGCTACCAGTGAAGGCTACTGCTGGACAAAACCCCATTTGCTGCTTTAAAAAGTCTAGTTTATACGTTTGAAAAACAATCCTTACCCAGGCGCCGCGGTGGCTCACGCCTGCTATCCTAGCTACTCAGGAGGCTCAGATCTGAAGATCACCATTCAGAGGCAGCCCTGGCAGCAAAATCCATGAAACTTGGCTGCAATTAACCACTAAAAGGCTGGAAGTGGAGCTATGGCTCAAGCGAAAGAGCACAAGCTCCAACATCCGGAATATATATAGTGCCCAGGCCCTGAGCTCAAGCCCCCAGGACTAGCACACACTAAAAAGGATCTTGAGAACTTGAATTGTGCTATAATTTTAGTGTATAGATAGATCATCTTGTCCATATATGTGTATATATATATATATATATATATATATAATTGTTTAAAGTAGTTATGCAGAAGGGTTTCAATTCTACCTCAAGCTATAAGTACAGCATCTTGATCAATGTTACCCTTTCAGTCTTCTCCTGGGCTAGAGCACTAGCCTTGAACTGAAGAGCTCAGGGACAGCGCCCAGGCCCAGAGTTCAGGCCCCACAACCGACAAAAAAAAAAAAAAAAAAAACCATGACAGAAAGCATCAGGGTGAAAAATAGCCTTGAAAAACAGTTGATGAATTTGGGGTACAGAGCCAGGGATGCTTGGAAAGCCCCCAGCAATGCCTGGGCTTCGTTTTCATGTCCGTTTTAATCTTCCTGTCTGGGAAGTGAGGAGTCTGTGTTACAGTCTGGCCTGCCTTTGAGGGTCCATTAGGAGAACAAAGGGGAGGGGGGCGGTGTGCCCAGATGGGTGGAAAGTTTCTAAAAAAGCAAACAACAGAATCCCCACCCTGGGCTCTGGGATGGTAATGGCCTCAGCCAGTGAGCAATGGCCCAGCAATCTTCCCTCCTAGGTTGGCCTGGCAGAGAGAATGAGACTTGGCTGACCATCGGGGGGGGGGGGCCCAACAGTAGCTAAAATAAATAAGGGGGCCATTTATGCAGAGGGGCCAGCCCACGTGACCCACTGGGCGGCTTCCGAAGGACTTGCTAAGTTAAATATCCCAGAGGCCTTGCCAGGGGAAGGGCGGGCTCTGGAGGGCAGGCAGGGGTACAGGCCCTGAGGAGCTGCCCTGAGGCATGGGGTCTCTGCAGATGCCAGGAGCTGAGTAAGCAGAGCCTTGGGAGTCAGCAAATGAAGCTGGATGCCGGCTGGGCTGGGAAGCCTAGGGTTGTTATGGAAACCAGCCCTGATGTCTCTGTGGCGCTCAGCAGAGTCACTTGAGTTTTTCTACTGCTTTGGAATTTCTCTGGTCTCGTGCTATGCCTGTCTCTGCCTGGCGACGGGGAGCCCCCCAGTTGAGAGTCGCTGCGGTGGCCACTGGGACGAGAAACAGGTCTCCTTGGCATTGCTTTCCAGGAAAGAAGAGAAGGCATTCAGAGGGAGCCAGCTGGTAAAAAAAGTCTCCTGTTCTTGGAGCAAGTTGGAACTTAGGACTAGAAAATCCAAAGGGAAAAAAGTCACCCACAAGGTAACGCGGTCCAAATGTTAAATACACAGCACCCAGGGCCAAGCCTGAGGAAGCGCCTTGGCAGGGCCCAGAGCTGGGGGGTGGGGGTGGGGTTCTGAGCAGACAGCTTCAGCTGGGGGGAGGCTCGGGGAGACCTGCTCAGAGCT